TTCGCCAAGCGCCCAGATTGCGATCACATGACCACAGGGATGCTCTGACAGAACCTTGAGGACTGGTTGCAAGTCTCCTTTCTCAACATTAGCATAACTTTGAACAGTCACTGAATGACTGGGTTGTTTAATTGAGGACTACCTGTAATAAATTAGGCTTACTGGAAAACTCAGAAGAGCATCATTAGAGCCGAAGCAAACTACACATTAGTAAGAAGTACGTATGGATAAATGATGCAAATACATGATTAGAAAATGGACTAGAATATGAAAATTGAGATAAGCAGAAAAAAATGATGACAGGTTTAGGACTGTTAACAACATCTCCCTGGAATAGCTACAAACTGTCACAAAGTACAGAGCAAGTTAGAGGCCATTTATCTGTGGTCAAATGTCAGCCCTTTCAAGAATGCCAGGTCAGGATACAGATGACACAAAATTACAGGAATACTACTTTGTTGTGATAGGGTACAATAACGGACTTTTGGAAATGTACCAGAGTTTGAATGAATACAGACCAAATTAGTAGAGTGACTGTGCATCTTATCTTACGGAGGGACATCTGACTTTGAAGGGATCTCCAGTTGGACGATTTATCTATAAGATTTTAGAGAATATGGACCTTGAAATTCTCACCAACAAGCAGCACCTGGGCAAGCAGCAGATTAAGCAAACACATCAGGCACTTCCTCTGAGTCTTCCCCTTTGCTGCATCTCTTTAAATTCTAACAATTATTCCCACATTTGCATTTGCATATATCAGTTAATACATGGACATTTGATGTAAAATTATTTCTTTTTGTAACGGACAGGTGGCCACCCTAAACATCAGTTGCATAATTTCTTTGTGATAAATTATATAAATCAGAGGTCCCCAACCCCCGGGCTGCAGCTAGTTTGGAAGTGGACTGTGTGAGCAGCTGGCTGGCATGTATGCAGCTCAACTCACGAGTGGCAGGGCAGCATGCGCATGTGCAGCTCTACTTACATGAGCGACAGGCTGACACTTATGCAGCTGTACTCACCTAAGTAGCGGGCCGGCGTGTGCACAGCTCTTTGAACAGCAGGCTGGGGCACGCCGCACGCATGGCCTACTGCTGTCCCGCAACCAGTTCCCCTCTCCCCCCGCCAGGCTGCCAATGTCAACTCTGCAAAGAATTTGGCTGAAGCCATCTTGTTTGTTTTCAGTTGCCACAAGAATAAGGGGAGGGATGGGGAGTTTTATGCTAGTCTAAACAATTCTCTGTCCCGTGGTAACCAAGGTCATTCCTGTTTGTTAGACTGGGGACTGAGCATTATGTTAGAAAGCCTGCCAAATTATTCTATTGGGAAACGTAGTTGATTGCATAGATTCTGGGGAAGGAAGTTAACTTTGTAATAATGTAACTTTTTGGAGGGAACTTTAGTCTTGGTTTCACTTTTAACTATGCCGATACTTTGTAGCCAATAAACATTTTCTTAGAGGAAAACTCAAGCCTCGGAGTTCTGTTTTAGTTGGTCTTATCTATTGGAACCATGACAGCCAAGCCACAAAGGTTGGGGACCACTGATACAGATAACGCCTTATTCTATCCTCCAGATGTTGACAGCAGTACACATCAGTCAGTGTTAAAGATTCCCCATTTGACTGGCTCTAATCTGGCTTAAGATTTCTCATTCACTCAACAAGACAAGACTAGTAAAGCATCCTTAATGCACCCTAGGACCAATGCCACTTCAAACAATTGGACTGATTTTTTGATAGTTATTGACAACTTCTATCCTCCTAAATTTTAATTTTAATTCCTTCCACTGTCCTTGGTTTACACAATTCCCCCTCTGTGCTAAATGATAGCTGGTTATTGACAATTTCATCCTTCCTACCCTAGGAATATCTAGCTTCCAATGTATCTCCCTCACAAAGGATCTACTGCTGATTTCTAAGATTTTCTCTCCTTCCCATTGCGATCTTCTCTACAGAATGGAAGAAAAACATGGCTGCCATGGCTTGATCACTGGTGTAGAAATGAAATGAGCTATTTGCAGGCACAACAAGATGGACCCACTTAACTTTTTTCGCCTGAGGCACTCTCCCCAAAATTAGGGCAGGTTGCAATCCCAGAAATCTACATATTAATTGTTTCTTCTATTAAAAGGAGGGCACTTGCATGCCCTAGTGTAACTCTAAATAAAATGAACCCATTAGATCATTCCTCTTAATAGTTTCCCAAGGTAATCTAGACTCATGAACTGTGCATAAGTAAACAATAAATTGTGTTTGTATACCAAACTGTAGAGTGACTTTGGTGCAGTGGTTAACACATCAGGTTAGAAACAGGGAGATGAAAATTATATCAGTAGTATTCAAAATATACAATGATGTAACCTTACAGTAGCACAATAAACTACAATAATGTAATAATAAAACAGAAGCAATACATTAGATCTCTGTTCTGGTATATTCTGGTATATGACAAAAAAAGCACAGAGTTCCTTTTTTTCAACAGATTTTCCAAGTTTTAAAAGTAACTTTTGAAAATTTGATGTTTGGTCCACATGGACTTGAATCACCCTGTCGAGTGTAGCAGGTGGGCGGCAAAATCATTAGAACGGTGCACGCGGGCTGCTTGTGTGTCGATTCCGATGCATGCGTACTTCGTCCATGCTGGTTGTGATGGTGCTGCTCAGCTTGTGGCACTGCTCAGCTTGTGATTGGTCGTGTTGTCGCATACTGCGGGCGGCAACCATTGTTTCGTTACACAACTGACATGTGTGTACAGTGATTGACTATGTGTGAATGGTAAATAATACATTATACACACACACACATACACACACACACACACACTGTTAAGCTATTTCTGGAAGGCATTCAGGCACACCAAAAGGGAAAGTACTATGCAGTTCGTATAATATTATTCTTAGTCTGTACCATGATCACCTCAGAAACTGAATTGTGTATTGATCATTTTCAAGGTCAGTTCCATGTAAAGCAAATTATAATAGCACAATCAAGAGCTGGAAAAGGTACGAAGCGCTCTTAATTCCTGGAAAGGTGGCAACTAGCATACCTAAGAAAGCTAGGCAAAGGCCCTCCTGATCACGTTTTACCTGCTCTTTTAGCAGGAGCCTTAAGTCTAGAAACACACACACATATACCGGTACCCACATACCACACACAAAGAGAGATTCCACAACTACTTTTAAATGGAACAGTCCTTCAACAACTCTACGTTGCTTGGTTGAATCTGGACTTGCCATTCTCTCTAACTGTCCTATGACACTGAATTAGGATTACACCACAATCTTACAATGAGCTTAGGGTGCAGATATACAACTGAATCTCTCTCTCTCTGAACTCATTGAGAGGTTTCATGGAGATACTGAATAAGATGTGGGAGAGGACAAAGCTGTAAAATGTAGTGCAATTAAATGTTCGTTTAGGTACTGTAATATAACCAATCTCAAACAAAATGACTCCAAGCAATTAGATATACTGACCTACTAAAGTTAATACCTCTTTAAATTTGTTCCAGAGTACTATTCTCGAATAATTCCTTTCTTGCATTTTTTTCCCCCTCCAATATCGTGGGCTATGCAAAGTCTGCTCTTCTGCTATTTCTTTATCTATGCATTTGCCTCTATAACTGAAAAAACAAAGTTTCTCTGCATGGAAGGAGATTTTTCACTACAGCATCATGCTTCCTTCCTGAAATTTTGTTTAATTCATATAGGGAGGGTTTTTGTGCAACATTTCAAGCAATGTATTGAAAAGGTTCTTTATTCTGATCAAAATACCTCCTTAAGCAAGGAAGTATATTCTTTTTGATAATTCATTGATGTGCAGATCAATAAAAATCAGATCCATATATCAATACTGCGTGCACTTAGTAATTAATCAGTTCTGTCAAATTTTATAAGAATTGTCTTTAAAGAGCTGTCAAAAGATTGCAACTGAGATGTCTTTCCTAAATATTTTTTGTGTGTGCTCAGCTTTCCTAAACATTTCTTTGTATAGAATTCTCCAAATCCATATAGGTTTGAGTCCAGAAATAGGTGAAGATATACCAACAGATCTGCAAACTGTGCACCTGTTTGTGCAATGAAAAATTCCATTTTGGAACACCATGTGATTTTTATTTGGGGGGGGGGGAAGAAATCTGTAAGACAATTCTTTCAAATCGCTATTCAAAAGTACACAGCTCCTGCTGTTGGCAAAGCATTGTGCTGTTCAACTCAAGAGCTAAAGCAAACACAAATGCAAATCACTTTTTATACTATAAATTCCATCCAAGCTCAGGGGTAGCAAGAACAGTACAATGGTTAAGGTGCTGAATTAGGGATGAGATCTCAGGTTCAAGTCTAACCTCAGCCATGGAAATTTATGGAATAACTGGACAGCTGTTGTATCTCAGTTCAACCAAACTTACAGCGCACCTTAAGCGTTTGTTACTATACAAAAAAGATATATTTATATAGAAGAGGTACATATGGATGAGTATTGTGAACTGTATGTTATTCTTGAGATTACGGAGGCTGGAGGCCAAGAATCACAAATCTTTCCTTTCCATGACTCCATCTACTGATACCTTCCGAGGGCCAAGAGCAACTAAAAGCACTATGAGATGGTGCACATGAACACACATACTTCTTCCATTTTAAAAAAAAAATGTTTGGACATGTGTGCATACATGCTCAATTGAAGTTCTGGAGAAATATTAAGCTTTAAAATACAATTTCTAAGAAAAGAAGTGTTTGTCAACGCTTGGTGATCCGGGCCAAATCTGGAAGCTTGTCAGGCTAACATTTCCTAGCAGGCCTGTGGAAATTCATTGGAGCAAATCACAGAGAGTTTTTGAATTTTATCACTATGAAAGTTAGATGAGATAAGGGAACAAAAATCCAATTGTCATTTTTCTCCTTTTTAGATGCACTGATGAAGTTAGTTTGATGAGTGCCTCTAATTATTTAATACTTGAAGCAAGCAAAATTAATTTTGGTGTGTGGTATTAGCAACTTACCCTGCTGGGATATTCTCATTGTTACGCTACGATGAGCAGTAGGATCCTTCGCAGCCACTGCATATCCTTTTAAAACAGGTAAATCTAAATCAATCACTTTATTAATGTATTATGTTCATTGTAGCAGCAGTGAGGGGCCAACTGAAATGGGACCTCCTACTGTGCTTATGTCTGTATTGTTAGCTCCCTGTGCCCAAAATAAAGAAAGGGGAAAAACTGATTTCCTTTTGCAAAGGTTCTCATAATTTGCAAATATCTTTCCTACATGATCTAATTTTTTTTCAAAATATTAATTACAATTTTCCATTCTCATAGTGTTCTCTTGGGCACGTATCCATCTGACTCTTACAGATAAGAGTCAGATAGATAAAATAAGCTGTAAGCTTATTTTTTGGTAAAATGGAATAAATAACTTGAAACCCCAGGCCAATAGGCTCATGAAAGTCTTCAATGACACCCCAAGAAATCTTGCAAAATATATAATGAGAATGTCAACTTCTAAGTGACAAAACAGAGAAATCATTACGTGTTTAGAAGGTCAATGATAAACTAATTCTTAGTTTAATTACATTTAAATTCAATTCAAACACATTCAGTATTTTGCTGTCTGCCCAATTCTTTGTTATTTGCTGATCTGGCACTTTGAAGCTTTTATATATCATTCAAAGAACTCAGCCTAAAAAACTTTGACATCTCTTACAGTCCATAGTTTTTTAAGACCCATTCATGTCAATTTTTAAATTATTTTCTAATCATTTTATGTTAAAATAACATAAAATTTACTACTCTGAGCAATAGAAAAGTAACAGTTTTCCAGTTGTCCTATTGCTTTTCTTTCTCCTAAGACAGTATTTTTTTTAAAAAAAAAGAGGAACCCAACACAAACAAAAAAGAAACACAAACTATTTGCCACCTTGAGTTATTAATAAAAATAATAAAGGTAGGACATAAATAAATAAACTATGAAGTCACTGTTGCTGGGAAGGAAGAGAGATGATACAGGATAACTTGTAGAATAGTGTTCAAAGATTAATAGGATAAGATAGCAGGAAAAAAAAGAAGGAACCATAATGCCAGTAATAACAAAGTGGCTGATTTTGAACCTTTGAATTAATGTAAGGGTCTCCAACCTGTGGGCTGCGGCAAAAATGGGCCGCCGCCACTATGCCTCAGAGCGCAAAAACGGGACATTGACACCAACGTACCTCAGGGCACAAAAACAGGATGCTGACACCGCGCCTCGGGGTGCAAAAACGGGTCATTGATTCACTCTGGGGTGCAAAAACAGGCCACAGCCGCACTGTAGGGCACCAAAACGGGCCACTGAAACAAGGCGCTGCGCCACGCAAGAACAGGGTGGGGCTAGTATCACACAGGTGCTAGCCCCACCCTGTTTGTGGTGCAGGTGCGCACGCACACATATAAATTGCTTTCCCCTCCCTTTTCCTCCAGTCCACCAACCAACAAAAGGTTGGTGACCTCTGAATTAATGGATTGCATTGTTGTCTGCAATTATGAATGAACAGGGATAAAAATGGATCACTACAACCATTTGTTTAGTGACCATTCCAAGTTACAATGGCACGGAAGAAAGTTACTTATGACCGGTTTTCATACTTACCACTGTTTAAGCATCCCCAAGATCACATGATCAAAATTTGGCAACTGGCATGTATTTATGATGATTGCAGTGTCCCAGGTTCATGTGATCACCTTCTGACAAAGTCAATGGGGAAAGTCAGATTCACTTAACAACTGTGATACTAACTTAACAACTACAGTGGTTCACTTAAGCACAGTACTATGGCAACAAAGGTCATAAAATAGGGCAAAACTCAGTTAACAATTGTCTTGCTTAGCAATGGAAAAGTTGAGGTCAGTTGCGGTCGTAAGCGGAAGACTACCTGTATTTCATTATTACTTGCCACTTTATAATTATATCTGGTAAATCATTCTGGAGACCTAAAAGATCAGCATGTCATTCTGTGCTCGACTTGAGTATTGTGCTGTCTAGATTTTATAAGAAATATGACATGTCATGCTCTCTCTCAAAAAATAAATGGAAGGCAGATATGGCTTTAAGCTGTTATGATATGGGCTTGACATTAGGAATAAGAAATGTAAATATAAATCAAGTTAATAAATTTCCAATAGGACCCATTTTTCTTTCTAATGCTAATTCTTGTGATTTCTCTGTAGTTTTAAATGAACCTTTCTTTATCCTTAGAATCAGGGGCTGGCTGTATGTGCTCCATCCCAGTTTGGCTAGCAATATTGGGTCCCTTCCTACATTTTGAAAGGGGTAGAGGAGAGGAAAAGATACAGATTGAGGCCGACTTCACAGAGACTATATGGTTTATTAAAAAAAAAACCTGTAATCTTAGATTAATGGCCAAGTTGCTTTCTGCTAGAAGAAATTGGAATACAAAATAACTAAAGCAATTTGCTCATAAAATTATCAATACAATCCAGCTTACGCATTGTTTGCAGGCCAAGTAACCTTGATCTTCTCTAAGTACTGAAATAACCAGGAAAGTATTCATCACATTCGTTATCATCCTATTGTTTACAAAATTCCAATTGCTTTATGGTAACTATTTGTCATAGAAGTAGACTAATAAAATTATTAGTTCTTATATTTAGTCTCCCCCACCCAAGTCTCTAAAGTGCACTTTTTTATTCTTAACTGATCATCACAGAAGTTAATTAGATGCAGCATGAAAAGACAAAATCAATTCTGAAATCATAATACTGGATCTTCTGTCAGTTGAAGTTAACAAAAGTTAATTTTAAAAAGTTCACAAAAAAGATCCAAATAATGAGGCCATTCGTGCATTTACAGGTGGATGACAGAAATGTCTTTACTTTTATCTAGTACATTCTGTTAAGACAACTGATGGGATTCACAAGTGATCTCTAGATTAACTGGACTCTGGCTCCCTTGATATCTGCCAAAGGTTCTGGAAGGTTGATCCAATAATGATTCGAAGGGACAAGAAAGATCAAGGGAGTTGCAGATGATAAACTGCAGAAGAGGTGCTACACAGAGCAAGGCTGAAATTTCAGGATGCAGAATCATGGATTTAAACTACAGGAAGGTAGATTCTACTTGAATGTAGAGAGCTTGACAATAAAAGCTTGACAGAAGTATCAGTCACAAAGGGAAATGGGCATGCTCTCCATCTTTTAATGTTTTAAATCAGGATCTTTATAGGCACGCATTTAGTCCTCAGTAGTTTTAATGGCCTCTTCCAACTCAGTGATTCCTTGCTCCAGTATTTAACCTTGACTAATTGCTGACGTGTTGAACTACAGTTCCTATTTTCTGTAATCAAAGTAATTGTTTTTTTCATATAAACCTAATTATCAAATTTAAATAGGGCAGAACCTTAAACACAATTTAAACAAACTAACTTATAATGTTTATAACAGTTTCCTTTACTCCCTAATCAACAGGTGCCAATGTCATTTTCTAACTTGCTTTTTAAAAGTGGAATAATATATCAAGCAAAGTTAATATTCTGCTTATTTGAATATTCCCATGATAACTAAAAAGTTATTTGCTATTTTCTAATTTAAATTAATTCAACTCATGAACACTTCTTGGCAACTGAAAGTAAATCATACACAAGTGCAAATAAATTACATCAAGGAATTCACCGGCCACCCTATTCTACAGAGTTTGTTGCAATGTTCACCTATCCATGCAAGCTGCCAAGGAAAATACTTTTCTTAATTGGATTAAACAAGACTAATGGCCTCACATATTTTGTATGCAAAGACTGGAGTAGGCAACCTAAATCTCTGGCAGGTTTTATTCACTTCTGCAAATATTTAGAACTACAGCTTCTACAATCCCACACCACTGCCTATAGTTAATAAATGGGAGACGACATTTGGAGGTTCTGCCCCATGATTGAATTTTTTTTTCTTATATTCTGCCCTGGTGACTTGGTAAAATGATTAGGCTTCCAGATTCAGCTTTTACTGCATAATGTACAAGTGGCCTGGCTTAGTCACAAAATATTTGTTTTATTAAATTTATATGCCACCCATCTCACCATTAAGGCAACTCTAAATGTTATATATTAGATGTATATTCCCATCTTTATTACTGTAAACTTCAAACAGAGGATATAATGCTACCACTTCCTATTCTGCCCACAACCATTGGAGGGGGGGCTGATAGAGACAGGCTTCCCCAAATTTACCTGGCCAGTGTTTGTATTGAAGGGAAAACCAGAACTCACAGTCTCCTAGTTTCTAGTTCAGCACCACTATCCAAGTTGCTCTGGTCTTTCCTCAGCACCTGCTCTCCAATTTTTTCTGATAGCCTATGGACAAGAACTTGCCCCACCACTCTCAAGGAAAAAGCACACCTGAAGGACACTGGCTTAGGGTAGGCTGCTCTACCCTAGCTCATCAGTGGTGCTACTCTTCATTGCCCTTGCTGGATCACATGAAGTTTTACATCAGGTAGAAGAATCAATCAGCACAGATACAATTTAATTATCTGAAAAACAAGGTTGTGCAGATAAACAAAACCAAAAATTATTAAAGATGGCAAATGTACGAATCACAATAACAAAAATACCATTAACATTTACAGCATACTTCCTAGCCGGGAATTTGATCACATCAACTTGCTTTCTCGAGGTATTCAAATGAGTTAATGAACAAATGTAAAATAATGATAACCAATGAGGCAAAAAGACAGATCCAGGTCAAAACAGTAGAGGTGGTAAGATTTTGCTACTTAAACATGGCCTTCACTGAGAAGCATCACACTCAATGAACTAAACCTTCCTGGGGCTGACACTTAACATTCAGGGTAGCACCTCTCTCTTTCCTGCATGCTTAACTCCAAGGAACAAGGAATCCAAAATTAATTGTAACATTCAGGCATACACACTGAAAAATGAGATATTTAGAGTTTTAATAGTAAGAGAAAACCTAACATACTCAGTGCAATTGAACATGTCTTTCTTCAGGAAGCAAACCCAATTTTCAACTTTAAACAAGGTTCTTAAAAACTGCTATGGAAATCTATAGGCATCGTTTCCATCTAGATATGTGTTACACATACATATGTATGCACACATATGTACTGTGCAAATTCTTTGTTTTTAGAGCAAAGTTGAAATGGCAAGGGACTACTGTGGGATACAAAAAACTGGATGAGCAATTGGCAGCAAAATCCTTGATCCCTAGTGGGATCAAGATTTCTGCAGCCCAGATCTAGTAATGCCAAAAATGACTGGATTAAAAAAAAAAAACTCATGTTTGAGTTAGCTTTGATTATGACACTGAACATTTCTAATAGAAGACGGTCCACTTCCTCTTATTGCTAATGTAAGCACTGACTTGATTTCTATTAAGTGAAGTTTCAGCATCTCTTAGACATCCTCTCAGCAGCTTATAAGCAAAAGTAGTCTCCTAAGTAAGTGTAAAGGTGGGGAGAGTATTATTAAGATACTTCAATAATCTGTTGAAACATTAAGGGAGTTTGGCATAAAACAGGATGTTGTCATCAGGAAGATCCATAATTACAAAAGCTTTCTTTCTTCCTCTTTCCAGAATTTCCTTTCAAGAGAACTTAAAATTTTCCATAAGATTCTGATAAATATGGTTGTGAATATTATGTACATTTAACGTGAGTAAACCTTATTCAGCTCAGTGGCTGGGTTTATGATTCGCATTAAATCATCATGTAATTTGTTTCATCTTGTTCAGCATGTTTTATTTAATAAATCATGATAAAGTTAAGCATGTTATACTTGAAAAAACCATGGCTTAACACAGTATGTTCACACTGTGAGGCATCTGAGCAGATACTTATAGAAAGATGCTACATGTAATCAAAATATACACAATTCAACATTTTCAAGAGATGACTTGTTAATACTGGGGTTTTTTTTTTCACAGAAATAGCAGACTGACTGCAAACTGCCAGATGGTCTCTTTGGAACAAACTATCTGACAGTTCATTATCATTTTTGCTTTAAATTATCACAATAGACACATTGCTATTGTTTAGTGGGCAAGGTGATAGAGCTGTTTACTTCTGTCAAATAATACTATATTTATATTAGTTGCTGTGAACAGACAAACCACAATTACTCAGTAGAACATTACAATTTAAAGAAAATGAATTTAGGGTGCTCTCCTTCAAATTATGTTTCAAAACATGCAGAAAATGAATGCCAGCTGTGTAAATGCAACTTGTTTAAGGGGAAAAATGTGTCGAAGCAATTTGGAAACATGTCTGTGCAAAGGTATGCATGCAATTATTAAGCACCTATCTTAGAATATAATGTCTGGTATACTGCAAATACCAGTATTTATAGCACATGGAATTAAAATTGGATGGCTGTGATGCTGACTTCAAGTGACTACCTAAAAACTCCAGGAATTACTAATTGAAGCTTTAAAGGATAGAAATGCTTTTACAACCAAACCTGTTTCTGTTTCCTTTTAGGTAGTCACTTTGGTCCAGTAGTTAAGGCACCAGGGTAAAAACTGAGAGGACTTAGAGATTCAGTCCTGCTTTAGAGACAAAACTAGCTGGGTAATCTTGGACCAGTTCTCTCCCTTCCCTTCTCCCTCTCTCTGCCCTATGAAGGAGGCAATGACAAACCACTTCTGAAAATGTTGCCTAGAAAACTGCATGGAATTATTAACTAGTTATCCTGTTCAAGCCTTGGTGCATTCTGAACCCATTCTGAAAAAGTCAACAAATATTAACCATATTGAATTTGATGCTGCAATGCTGAAGTGGTGATACCACAGTACATAACCAAAGATGTGATCAGCAGAAGGTTGTATATTCGTAAGTATTTTTGTATTAAATTGCACTTATAGAGGTCTGCATTTTTCAAGATTATGTTCCTAACATTCCGTTCCTTAATCTATCATATTATGTGGAAGAAACACCAACAGAATTCAATTAATGCATGTCACACAGTGTGCAATTGCACCTGAACAAGAAATGCCCTTCTGTAGGATGAGACTGTTGCCCTAAGTAAGTAGATGCAGCTTGTGAGGAAAGTCCACAAATATATTATCACAAGAACACAAAATACTATGGCTGTATTTCAACAGCAAAGTCACTCGTTCCCCAGCTGTGACAGGAATATAAAACTTCAGAAGCTGTGCAGTATAACTTAGAAAACTAATTATTCCTTTGCAGTGAGGAATAAATGAACCAACTTCCCCAAGCAGTTTCTTTGTCTTCCAACAAAAGGAAAGATCCTCTGTATCTATTAGAAGCATCTATAGATGAAGCAAGCTAAAGCTTTGTTTTGCTGTGGACAATCCACCCCACACCAGAAATCTCATTTACCAGCCTAGTTTATATCATGGCCTGGGGGAGCAGCTGCTTCTGCATAATTCCTTCCGACCAGATTCAGGGTGCACGTATGGAAGTAAACAAAAGCTAGCCTTGCTGAAACAGAGATGGAAGAGGGGGCAGGAGATCCTTGTCCACCAGCCATTTATACAAACATCTCCGATCAGTCTTCACCTCTGCACGCCAAAGCATCTCTCCAAAACGGGTGACCGAAGTGCCTATAGGAGACACAGGTGGACAGGAAGCTCCTAACTCTCCAGCGGGGGGGGGGCGGGGGGGAGAGAGAGGATTAGCCTTCTGCACTCACATGCACTTTGCTTTAGGATAGGGCGCAGTTGCTCCCCCCCTCCTCCTCCCCCGACCACAACCTACTCCGGTGTTGCTTTCCAATCAAGATCGTCAGCTGAGCAAGGCGGCCTCGGGATAAACCCCTCTGCAGCCACCCCAAGGGGGGGGGGGAGGTACCGCGAGCGCCGAGCGCTGAGAAACAAAGACTCTTTGGGCTCAGGAGCAACTGGCGGCCGGGCATTGGTGTTCGCTCCTCGTCTCCGCAAGCCAAGCGGCGTTTCAGGCCCTCAGTTTTTCAAGCCGGCGCCTTGGTTTCTTCCGGCGCCAGACACTAACGTCCTGCAGGCCGCTATCTTCCCTCCCATCTTGGAGGGAAGTTTGCTGGAACTCCGTCAGGCTGAAGCTTCTGCAAGCGCCGACAATGGGCTGCCCGCCAGCCGCCGTTCTCTTTCTCCCACTACTCTCGACAACAAGTCACCTCAGATACCTCCCCCCAGTCAAGTTACGGGGAAGGGGGATTTAGACAGCCCTATGCTAAAGTGAAGCCTGAGGTGGAAGGAAAACACGAGCAACCTTGAGAGGGGTGGTCATCGCCATAAAGCCATTACAGGGAGTCCTCGACTTACAACCGTTCATTTAGCACCCATTCAAAGTTACTATGGGACCGTTTTTTCACAGTTACCACCTTTGCAGCATCTCCACGATCCTGTGATCAAAATTCAGAGGCTTGGCAACTGGTTCATATTGGTGACCGCTGCTCTGGCCCAAGGTCATGTGATCACCTTTTGCGACCTTCGCAAAGCAAAGCAAAATTCAATGGGGAAGCCAGATTCTCTTAATACTACCGGGTTATTAATTTATCAACTGCAGTGATTCATTTGACAAGTGCGGCAAGGAAGGTCGTAAAATGAGGCTAAACTCACTTAACAAATATCTGACTTAACAACAGAAAATCTGGGCTCAATTGTGGTCGTAAGGCGAGGAGTACCTGACTTAGGCTTATGTCCAAACTCAGCGCGTGCGACGTGACACCCAACGGGCTCCATCGCCCCCGGGGCAGCGAGCTCTGCAAGTTGCTCGACTTAAGTTCTCCGGGTCCCTAAAGGGAAAGGGGAACGCCTTTGCTCCCGACATTCCTGCTCTGCCGCTCTGCTCTCGCCGCAGCTTCTCTTCCCCGCAAACCAACCACCGCCCGCCCTCTGACTGGTAAGGCTTCCTCCAGAACTGAATGGGAAGCAACGCTCGGTCGCTGGCCGCAGTGGATTCCAATCCTCGGATCGACGCCTCGAAAGAACCGATGGAAAGGGGTCAGAGTCAGCCCCTCAATCAGGCAGAGAGCCCTTCTCGACTCGCGAGTACTATATGTAGGAGGTGAAACACCAGCACGCAACTTAATGACTGCACCGGCGCCACCGATATACCCCGTTTGCAAGACCACCCGGCGGACTTGCCCGCTTGCAGGGAGAAAAGAAAGCAGCGCGTGCTTTCCCGCCCGCGACCCTTACCTGGGGATGCTCAGGATGCAGCCGCTTCGCGGGAGACCGGCGCAAAGCAGCAAGACCCCTTCAAAGCCGCCCTGCCTTTACTCCCCACACGGTAAGCTTCGGTGGCGCCGAGGAACCGAATGGGCTACAACGCACTTGCGAGTGGGAAAAGAGCAGGATCCAAAGCTCGACCAGTGAATGGCTTGCAAAGAGCCCGGGGTTAAAAAGATCCGTTTGTCGCCATCGTCGGAAGAAGTAGTGAAGCCAGGAGGAGGAAGAGAGAAACAGCGATAGGTCTAACAGTAGAAACAGCTGGAGGAAAAGTTCCACGACGGCTGGAATCTGCGACCACCACAACCCCACGTTAGCAGAAGCCGAGCGGCCACCGGCTCCGCTTGGAAAGCCGGCAAGAAGACCACGAGCGTTCCCTGAGCTTCTTTCAAACCTCCCCGGGTCGGGCGGCCCTGATTGGGCGACAGGACGAGCTGCCCGCCTCCTTTCTCAGGCTCTGGCGTTCCTTCTCAGCCTCAAAGTAAAGGCTCATTTACTGCCTCCTCCTCCTCCTTCGGTGCACGTCACTATCCCTTTGCCCAGTACAAGGTAAGGCCCAAGGAGGGAATTCTGATTTCTCCCCGAGAAGCGAAGGAGCGCTTTCCAGCGTGATCTCGCCTTCCGCCTGCTGAAGAGCCACGTCAGAGAGGCTGAGTGTCCAGTCGAAGTAGCTGCGCGTTATCTAATTGGAGACCCCGGAGTTGAGCATCGCCTAATGCCGGCAGATTGTGAAGCAGGCGTGTCTCTTCCACTTTTTGCCACTATTTCAAGTTCAAAACAAAACTAAACCTTACGACCACAATTGAGCCCAATATTTCTGTTGCTAAGTGAGACATTTAAGTGATTTTTGCCCCATTTTACGAGCTTTCCTGCCCCAGTCAAGTGAATCACTGGAGTTGATTCCCCCCCCCCACTTGATTTCAATGGAGTTGTTAGCTTGGAGTTGTTACTTAAGCATAGGAAGTTGCATGGGCTTCAAGACTATTAATTATCTAATTAATTAATTAGACAATCAGTGGAACAACCTGCCTCTAGAAGTTATGAATGCTCTAACACTGGAAGTTTATAAGAAAAGACTGAACAGCCATTTGTCTGGAATGGTATAGGGTTTCCTGCCTGAGCAGGACTATATGATCTCCAAGGTCCCTTCCAACTTTATTATTATTGTTATTACTATTTACATAAGGATGTATTGTAGGATTGTAGCCCCATTATTTCTTACCTCTCTGCTTAATGCTGACACCCCAAAGGGATAAGACCACATCCATGTGTCACTTCCTGAGAAAAAGAACCCATTTCGAGGAAGAACTTAATTAAATAATCAGCAGGTGATGCTTTATTCCTGCAGGACTTACCCTAATATCTTTGATTGTAATCAGTTTAGAAGGAAGGGCTACGGACCAGGGAATCCTTGATTTCAGCTGCTGATGAAATTCCAGCACAGGAGTTCTAGAAGATAGTTGTTGGTTGCTGCCAGAAATTTCTCCACCTGAGAGAAGCAGTCACTCCTAAAGCTGTTCTTCGCTTGGTTCAGCCTAATTTCCCTGATTCCTGAGCTAAGTTTTTCTCAGAGTAATTAGATGCAACCATTGCATACAATTGTAACTGGAAGCCTTGGCAGCAAGCTTTTAAACCCTGTGCTAGAAAGGGAGAGAAAATAATATTTTATATAAGTTTACACACATTGCAGAGAATCAGAGATATACTACACCTCTATTCAGATTTAATTGAATCTTGCATATATTTTTTTATTTATCTCCTGTCTCTTTGGCTCAAGAAGCTGGAAAACTAGAAGTTTAGTAAAGTATGAATAAGAGTAGGGAGTCATTGCTCCAAGTCATTAAATAAATATTGAGAGCCTGCTTACATATTTCCTTTGTTGCATAGATTAAAACTGCTCTATAGTGGAGAAATACCACTATAAGCAATGACAATATAGTATATCACAGTTCAGAAGTCAAGGCAATTGAAAACATGTCTGGGGGAAAAAAGGGCACTCATCTAAAAATCCTTCATAATACTTTGCTAAGCCAACTTTAAGATGTATGGACTTCAATTCCCAGAATTCCTCAGTCAGCATGCTGACTAGGAAATTCCGGGAGTTAAAGTTCATATATGATAAAAGTTGCCAAGGTTGAGAAACAATGGCTAATCAGTTGTTTTTGTCAAGTACATCCAATTCAAAAGAATAGGCAAAAACTTTCCTGTAGTTTCTATTCATTCTTAAAGATGAAACAATTGACTCTTCCATCCTTCCTTGTATGTTTCTTTAGGGCAGCACTGGCTTGAGTTTGCTCAGTCTTCCAGATTAATTCCACAGGTTCCCCTCTCACCATCCTCTCCATTTCCACTTGTGATGGTTAACTCAGCCATTGATAATTTTTGGAAAGCTTAAAGATTTGTGTTAGCTGCATCTATTTTGCACTCTTAATTTTTCCGTTCAAGCTATTGTGCCGGAAGTGTCCTTGGAATGATATTTTTGGCCTGGATAATCCTCAAAGGCATCAACATGGCTGATTATGACTATTTCCAATGTTGAATTCATAATATAGGGAATAGCCTACTTCCACATATTTTCTTAATTATCTAGGATCAGCCTGTTTTTTTCTGGAATGATTATAACTACTTCTGCTATATTTATTTTCTTCTCAAATTGGCACATTTCATCCTCACGTTACTATTTTACAAGCACTCAGGTTTTCCTAGTATACAAATATATATATAGATAGTCCTTGACTTACAACCACAATTAGGAACCCGAATTTACATTGCTATGCAAATCAATTGTTAAGTGAATTGCACCCAGTTTTACTATCTTTTTTTGCCACGCTTAAGTGAACTGCTGCAGTTGTTAAAGGAATCATATGGTTGTTAAGTGAGTATGGTTTCCTCTTTTGACTTTACTTGTTGGAAACTGACTAGGAAGGTCACAAATGGCAATCACAGGATCCCAGAACACTCCAGCCATGGCAAACACATGCTGGTAGCCATGAATTTTGATTATGTGGGGATTCTGGGTCATAAGTCAGTGCCATAATAACTACGAACAATCACTAAATGAGAAGATTACCAGTAGCACTTCCTTTTACTATGTATACAGTGAGTGGTGGGATTCAGCCAGTTCACACGTTCAGCAGAACCGGTAGCAAATTTTTTATTGCCCAGGCCCAGAATGGACGTCCGGAAGCGGCATCCACACACAGAGAACCGGTTGTTCACATTTTTGAATCCCACCACTGTATAGAACAGACCTTTCTCCATGCCTTTGCTTATTAAAAACATTTTACACATTAATCAACATATTTGGTAAATGAAGATCACTGAGGCTGAATCTCAGTGAAAGGCCTGATTCCCTTGCTCAGGAAAGAATGAAGTGAAGTCACCGATCTTGTTCAGGGATTATTATCTGGAAGGATCAGGTACTCATGGGGAGTTGTGCTTCTTGAACAAAAATAAGCTTTTAGTGGTCTACATTTTATGCATATTTAGAGATATAGAAAGTCACAGTGTCAGCAAAGCAAATAGGGCAAACAGTTTGGTGCTCTTTTTTTGAGAGGGGGAGTTTAATTTCTCAAACATAAAAACTGGCCTAAATTTATTTGGAATCTTAAAAGGTGCAGTGGATATCAACTGTTCAAGCATGTATACTTGTGATAAAAAAAAGTTGAACTGGAATTAGTTTATAGTAATTCTCCATTTTAGGAGTATCTATTCTATAGCATGTTTAAACATATTGTATATATTTTGGTATGCTATAACCCTTTTAAACATCGTGCCCACATATTTTTTTTTGTATAGATTTTATTAGTTTTTGTAGGGTTAGGAATAAGTTGGGGTTGGGATATGAGTTAAGGTTGGGGTTGGGGTTGGGGTTTTTCCAAATAACATTCTCAATATTTAGCAAACAGCATAATGTCTGGGTTCATGTGTTTAAGAAACAATAATAGATAGTTAATTATCATAAACAATATGTTAATTAAACACTCAATAGCTTCCTTCTTGCTAATATATATTCAAAATTACATATCACATTCCTTACTCTCTAACTCATTTTTCTAGCCATTAATAGAAATTATCCCATGTTCTAAAATACACTGAGTCTTTTCTCTTTTATCTTTAAAGTCAATCTATCCATTTCTGCACAGTCTAGAATTTTCTTAATTAGTATTTCTTCAGCTGGTAAATTTTCAGTTTTCCAATGTTAGGCAAATACAATTCTTGGTGCCTTTAGTACGTGTAGTATTAAATATCTTCAATCTTTCTCATAATTAGCTCCTATTATTCCTAACAAAAATAATTCTGGTTTAAAGTTTATTTGTTTTTTAGTCATTTTCTCCAACCATAAATGCATTTTAACCCAAAATCTTTTTGCTTTAGGGCATGTCCAGCAGATACGATAATAAGTACCTGGTCTTTGTTTGCATTTCCAATAGTTGTTTGAAGTATTTTTTAAAAAAAATGCTAATCTCACTGGTGTCATAGGCCATCTGTAAAACATTTTAAATAAGTTTTCTTTATATGCCACTGCTTTAGTTAATTTAATATTTCTTTCCCATAACTTTTGCCAATCTTCTAATTCTATATTATATCCAAAGTTTACTTGTTCTTCCTCCATCTTTAAGTTTAACAGAAATCTATAGAGTTTCTTAATCAACTTTTCATGTTTTTAGCAGTGTCTGACCAAATTCTGTCCTTTATAAAATCCCATTATTTTAACATCATGTCCACATTTGTGCATGTCGAAATTATATAGGTGCAACAAAGATTTATTAATGTCCTCATCTTTCCATTTCTGATCACATTCCGATCGAGCACAGATATCCATTTTTCCCTGATTGTCACTCAGCTACAGAACACATTTAAAAATGTGTTTCCCCATGAGCTGTTGTAATTAGTTTTCCACAAGTTCATACATGTTATAACAAATCCTATCAGCAATTGATCAGTTTGTCTTAAGTATAGTAGCTGTCTACTATGTATAGTAGTATATTGTAATTTTTTTACTGTCTGTATTTTAACAGTTTTCCATCACAAAATCCCCCCCCAAAAAAATGGAACTAACACCAATTGGTTATCAGGCAAGTTAATCTGCGTGAGCAAAATAAGAAATCTTAATAAAGAACTTTTGGTAGATCTGCAAAAATGCCAGGTGTGATTTTATTAATTAAACAGAAATGAATAGTAAGAATTGCATTTTATAATTCTGAAAATAAGATTCTGTTGTAATAAACAGCATGTATTTCAGTTCCAAGCATGTTTGTCATTAGTGATTTATTTTGGAGGAGCAGTTTTATTTATTTATGTATATATTGTAAGAGTCAAAATGGCACAGTGGTTACAATGCAGTATTGCAGGCTAACTCTGCCTACTGCCAAGAGTTCAATCCTGACCAGCTCAAGACTGAGTCAGCCTTACATCCTTTCAAAATCAATAAAATGAGGACCCAGATTGTTGGTGGCAATACACTGACTTTGTAAACCACTTAGAGAGGGCTGTAAAGCACTATGAAGCAGTATATAAGTCTAAGTGCTATTGCTAAGTGCTGTTTATTTATTTCTAAAATTTATTGGCCACCCACCTTACCACAGGGTAACTCTGGGTGGAGTTTTCACACACAATTAGCAGCAACATTCTCCACCAGAAACAGGAAACATTGTGGA